GAGTCACACCAGTCGCTAGGTAGCCGTGGTGACAAGGCGGACAACATTGAGGTGTGCGCAAATAAAGGTCATGCCTTCAAATGCCGGTGATGCATGGACCGTTGAGTTGATAAGACACCGACAGTTTTGTGTATGTACATGGCGAGGTCTATTTTGTCGAAGGTAAAATGGCAAATCGTATCACCGGGGACCGCATGATGGGGAAAGTTTCGTACGCATACCGAACGTACGCAATGTGTCCCGGCACAAACCGCAATGAAAAGAAGGATAGAAGAAAGAAGACCAGGTTGAAATGTCCACTTTTTTGTGATATGTAGCACGGAGAGCATTTGAGCAACCAGTAGTAAAGTGAATAGCTCATGCGTTCAGTTAGAAACCGACAGTCGAGGGAAACATACGTAGTCCGTGGACACAATGGGCGAATGCAATGAGTAATTCCCTAGGAGCCATGAAAAAGTTGACGCTAAATCCACGTCAGTAGCGGGCTTCGATATCACCAATTCCCTAGAACTCGCCATGCGAAAACTACCCGACAGGCAAGACAAGGAAAATCAAGTAGAGCTACCCAACCACCATTCTGAGTCAATGTGACTGAGTGTCGAATGGAGTTGAATTCAGTCGAACTAACGCTGTCAAGAGTAGTAAAAGGAACGAGAGCGAGGGAGGAAAAGAGAAATTGAAATAAGTCAAATGCTTTTGATAAAAACAATGGACTGGATGCAAGAAACCGAATGAAACAGTCGTTAGTGTCACTATGGCTAATCCGTAGGTCTCTGGCCAAGAAATGAAGCTTTACTGACAATCGTTCCGGGTCTTTCCTACATTCACCTGCTTGGTTACCCTACGACTAAACTCAAATTGGGGTAGTGTCCGAAGATGACGGATAACATGCATGAGAAAACAATAGTACAACGAACGCGTGGTTTAGGTTGAACAACACAGTGCAATGCGAGACGATGGAAGTTGTTACCATATGCCGGGGATCACGCACATGGTCATCTCATCACATGTGAGACGTGATTTTGAGAGACACAAGTGTTCAAGAACGCCCTAAGGTTGTAAATAGCAAAGTGCATCGGTTGTGCATGTGATCCACATGGTCACACCAGCCAAACCCCGTTCCTGACTGCCTGATGTAGCAATACTTCTATGAACAGCAGGTTTTGAAAAACAGAATGGCCATTTTGCATACCCGCTGTATTCGGTGTTTGATAAGGATAAGGTAGTCCATAAGTTTGAATGGTTGTTTCATGACAGACCCGGTGGTGTGTCCACTTACTGACCTACTTTACTGCGGCTAGCTCCTGCGACAGTATGAGTCGGCTTCATGAATGTCACAGATAGCAACTGCCCAAGCGAGGCGGTCGGCGGCAACCTCCACGCAGATACTGATCCAAGGATTGCTCCAGCGACGAGCACCATACACAACATAAATAATAATAAATAAACCGCCAGCTGTACGCCGTAACGCCGCTTCACTGTTACGCGACCACCACCAGTCGTGCGTGGGCTGAGTATACCGCGAGGACGCCCGCCAATACGCGGATTCGAACCGTTGACTTTATAGTTGCAAACCAGACGCGCATACGACTCGGTTACCGGCCAACATGGAGTCCCAAAAGATAGACATCCGATTTCATTGCAGTAAGCCAGGTTTTCAGTTTTCCACCACGGCGACGGCGAAACCACGGCCCTAGTGAATTCAGTGGTTGGTCTGCGGAGGGGGTGACCAAACCACTGGAGTCTGTGGCGTTGAATGAGCGCTGAGCTTCGGAAAACCGTAACATCGCTTGCGGATTTCGTCATTAGTGATACGCGCATGCCACTGCATTTTCAAGATAAGCCTTAATCACCCATGGTGGAAGATATCCAGCTTCCGGGTGTCCTCGGATCGCAACCATAAAGTAAAATGGTACGAACGGTTGCTGAGAATACTCGGATTTTCGTTCACAGACTAATTTCCGTCCTTCACCAAAACGTGTTTCCCAGTTGTAAGAAGGCTGTTCTGGCGTTGTCAGTAGGATTCCGGTAGTCAGACCACTGGTGACAATAGTGGATCCAAGGTTCTTGAATTCAGAAACAAACTCGATGAGTTGTCCATATAAGGAAAGCGCCGGCGCGGACTGGGTGGCTGACGATGGGAAGTACTTCGTCTGGCTGACGTTAATTTCGAGGCCGATCATAGACGCTGATTGGCCGACTAGATTTCGCAGTGACTGTAGTCATAAAGGATCTTCTGCAAGGTTAGTGACATTGTCAACAAACTCTAGATCTGATAGTCAAAAGTCAGGGCTAGGCATAACACCACGATATCCCTCAAGCGCATGATGCATAACCCAGTCGACTGCGAAGTTGAATAGCACTGGAGAAAGTGGGAAACCTTGCCGGACTCCAGCATTCATATCGAATTCGTTTGTTTCATCATCATGGACCCGAATCCCGACCTTCGTGCAACGGCAGTATGATCTCATCAAGTTAACGAGTTTAACCGGCACGCCCTCGGCAAGTAGGATCCTACAGAGTGCTTCACGGTCAACTGAGTCAAAGGCAGCTGGAAAATCAACGAAGCACACAAACGTGGGTTGATGGAACTGGTGGCGGTGTTCGAGTACCCGACGTAGAGTGAAGATTTGGCCAGTGCAGTCTCTAGCTGGACGCAAGTCACCTTGGTTGTGGCGAGTTCGCAGGTTCCTCTCATTGGCAAAGCGGGAAAGCAAGATTCGTGCGAAGGTTTTGGCAGCCACACTGATTAGGTTAATCCCGCGATAATTACTGCACACGGTTCGGTCACCTTTCTTTGGAGATGGCAGTAGTATTGAGGTACTCCACGAGGAAGGACAAATTTTGGTATCCCATATCGAGCAGAAGTGTTCGTGCAAATGGTCAAAGGGGGCTGGTAGAATCCCGTCCGCTCCAGGAGCTTTCTTTGGCTTCAGGCGACGAATGGTGTCTGCAACGTCTGTGGGAGATGTCGGTGAGCACTCCGCATCATATCGTGACAGCGTTAATGCTGAAATGGGTGCGATGGTGTGTAGTGGGCGGTTTAGCAGGTTGCAAAAACACTACCCATCTGTGTGTCGATTGACCTGTAGCAACAGCACCATGCATCTTTAGGTGAGCGCTGAAGCATGCAGAACTCTGCGTCCATCCAGCTAACAACGCTTGTGTCGTAGCTGAAGCCGACCACAGGGAGTCATACTGTAAGCATACGTCAATTTTGACGGTCCACTAACTGGTGTAAATTCCACCCCATAAGCACTACGATCTCAAAGTGCGCTAGATCAGCCAGCCACATTGCACTGAAATAATCTATCGGTAGTTAGTCATGTTGTGGTGAAACTAGGTTTAGACGCTATTACGTCAGGTGAGCACCAGACGATGCGAGGTGACCGCTTTCCTTGAAAACGGCGATGCCGATATAAAAATGGAGGTAACGACGCAGTTAAGTAAAACGATCATCACCAACCCCGAAAGGATATATAAGGTATTGCTTGGTTAGAAAAATGACCTACTTGAGCAATTATGTCAACAATGATTATATCGAAGCACATGTTTACTGGACGTGTCTACCAAATTTGATGGATATTCAGAGCTGTTCAACACATAAACGGATATTTACGAGAACAAGTTGGGAGAACCGCCTGCAGCAATTTGCCGGTGTTGTAAATAGCCCAAGTTATCGAACAGGCATCACTGGAGAATTGTGGTGGATACAAGTAGCCGTTTGAACCAGGTAACCGTAGTTAGTGATTGGATAAGACGCAAGTGTTTGTTCTAGTTCTCTCAAAGATACCGCACCCCTACTCAAAACGCGAGGAGCAAGAGATAGGGCTATCTATTTTGCAATCTGACATAAGGTGAATATTGAATGGGCAGTGTGAAATCATACGGATCAGAATCCGTAAGTTACTTTCCATGAGTGAGCTTCGGATGAAGTGTAGTCAATCTTTCACCAACCACCGAATGAAGGGGAATTGATATCGAGTTCGATTGATCTCTCAACATTGAGCCATGCCCTACAAGTGGCCCCGAGAGAATTCGGTAAGCGCCACTGTGCTGTTCGTGGAAGTACTCAAGTCTCTTTGTCAATCCAATGTCCAGTTTCTCAACCAAATGCATCTATCCAGTACTGCAATAGCAGTGCATACAGGAGAGTCTCAAGGTAGATGATAGATTCTGCGTGTGGCCCCTTGCTGTAATGGACAACGAATCAGGATACTCATGAATCTATTCGGGCAGACTAGTTGAACACACAGGTTTAACTCGCATCCAGTGGTCACCCCCGAATAAGTCAATCACAAAGAGTGCATCGCTAAAGAGATGTGCAATATAACATTGCAAAGCCTTGAGTTGGAAGTAGTTACTCCATTGCATTTGGGAGGCTTTCGCTCAGCCGATAGCGAGGACCATAAGCAGGTACAGTCTACCGTGTATCCTTGACTGATAAACAATGAAACTAGGTGGGCTTTGGGAACTGGAATAATGCATAGAACGGCTGATAATCTCAGGTTTTATCTTAATTCAGAAATAGGCCCCTTTGAATTTGTCTTAGCCAACTTAGTTGAAATCCATGCGAGAAACTAATGAAGCATACCCGCGGACCGTTTTATGAGAGCACAGCTAAAATTATGAATGCGCATAAATGTTAGGGTATTTTTTCGCATAAGCGCCAATAACTGAATGCTGAAGCGCATGTATACAGGAGTGAACAGAAAGGGAAACTGATGTTATCGATGCGCCTGGCAACAGATAAATCTGTGGTAAGCACTTGCCAACTACGAACAGGTCGAACCGGTGAAGAAAGCCTCTAAACTAGGGCTCAAAGTGATTCAAAAAGCAATGGAAAGCCTATCCATTGCCATGGACCGCGAAATTTGCAAAACAGATTGAAATGATGCTAGAGTTAGCTGCAGTTATGTTGCAACTCTGTTGAAAATGGATTCATATTCATTCCCACTCACAAAGCGAGCCTGATGTGCCCCGCAAGTACAGAAGTTCGGTTGAAAAAGTAGTCTATACATTTACAGTATGGAGCATACAAAGCGTTCGAAATGATGGTGGAATGAGTTGAAAAGTTCAAGGTCATCGACTTGGGGCGGACACAAATCCGGTTCGGGAAGCAGAATATTTGTCACGGTAAACCATGACAAAGTAAAAGGTTTTCTAAATAAAAAGGTGATGAGGACGGTAAACTGTAGCGAGATTCCAAGGGGACGAACCGGACCGATGGTCAGTAAGCATACTCTTGCTGAAACATAAAAAGAATACCCACAAGAACAGAGAAATCAGTGGTATTCCGAGTTGCACATTGAAATTAATAGGAGCCAGCGGCAAAACAAAGACAAATGAAATGTTCTAGTACAATAAAAAAACATGACGTTGATTGCTTCAAACGCAGTGCTTCAATGTTAATATAGCCATTATCTGGATTCGAATCTGGGGCATAGATATCTCAAGCAGACGCTTACAACATTAGAACGCCGAGGTGCTGAAGAGTTGCACAATGGTCACTGATCAATCCGTTTTGTGATGTCCGTTATGTGCACGGACAGCGACACGTAATCACTCAAGCACTCAAAGGAGCTAAGTAAGGGCCTGGATTAACTTCAAAAATCACTGTCAAAATTGAAACGTGTTTCGTAATATATAGACAGAATTAGCGTTCCGAAAAAAACAATGGTGCCGATCGACCGCATCCGTTTTGAGGACACGAAGTTGCCTCAGCAGCCGGAAGAGACAAAATCTCCGCTCCACATAGTGGCAACGTATTGTATTGCGTACGTTGTACTAGAACGTGCAATATTTCTTAAACTAAAAGCGACACACTTTGTAACAGTACCATCAGTGGGGATGAGAATAGTCGGTATTTTCGAGTAATGGGTTGCAATACTCTGAGTGTCAATGTCAGCCCAGAAAGGATAAAGAGGATTGACACGAGGGCGAAAACGTGCAGATTATACAGGACATTAGCTTAAGCATCGTTATAGAGATAGAGAGAACAGCGCAACGGTGGAACTCACGTCTGATGCACCACTGAGTCTCCAGCAGTGCAGGAAATCTGAACATTCATTGCAAAGAGATCGAGTGTCTTACATGGAACAACAGCGCGAGCTGGGTCAGTAGGGAGTGAAAAAAACACAATTGCATTTTCAGTTCGGTACTCGAGAGAGAAAGCACTAAAGAACAATTGACCCACTGATATGCGAAGCTAGCAAAGTGGGGAGAAAAGGTGTAAGTATTGTGTCTTCATATGAAATAACCTGATACTCTTGGTGGCCAGGTTTAATGATGAGGGTCTCCAACTGCTAACCGCAAATGTCCAGGCGAATATTCGCCGCTTGATCTCCCCCACCCAACGCACGTACGGTTTTGTACCGTTAGTCCCGTTGAGATATTACGCTGGATTTGACACTACGGTAGTAGAAACCCCCATGGGCACAACGTATAACGGGGCGGTTAGGTGAGAAGAGACTGATAAATTAAAGCAGACTATCAATGAAAATATGATGCGTAAATGCTAGCGCGCTTCAACGCTAAGCTATAAAAACTATGGCCTTCAACATTCGCCTATAAAGTGCATATCCGGCGGTGGCCACGGAATCTGTGCACGAAGGAATCGCGAAAACTGTCAAGCATAGTGCCGCTCCTGGAATATACGATACGTTACACAATCCAAAAGGCTCCGTTACCGGTGCAAACATCTGTGAGACGGAAAGTTGCCTAGGTGGGAACAGCGGAATTGTTCGAGACGTTTGGTGCACCATCTCCTATGTTCATCTGCTTACAATATCAGCCGGATTGACATCTACCTCTGTTTTGGCGTGACAATATATACCATTGACCATCAAGTGGAAACCCGACTCCACAATGATCCAGAACGCTTCCGCGCCTGGTCTGGTCCAGGCAGTCGCCGCACCCAAGCCGCAATCATTTGGGCTGCCTAATCAGCACAACAGAGCGAAGTCCCCACCCTCTTCGTACCGATTCTATGGTGCCTGGTATTTCTACACAGACTGCACGTCTCGTCACCACCAATATCAGCGATGTGGTCGGGTGGGGTAACGTGATGGCTTTGGCGAACCCCAGTCAATAACAGGGGACTGCCCCCCACCACCTGAAGTCCGAAGATGTGGTTGCGATCAGGACGCAAGCCCAAAACTAGTCCGGTTGGCAGCCCCATGGACTTCTTGGCCGAAGGAAGCTCGTCGAGCCCTTGACCAATGGTCGGCTCGTCCGATTGCAGTTGGACACTGCCTCAGATATCACGATTATATCTGGAAATCCCTTGGCGAGCCACCATTCGAGTAGTCCTCCCAATTTACCAGCGGCGCCTGCGATGGTCGCGTGAAGCTAACCGCGCAGCTGTACTGCTCCGACGTCTTTCGGGGCACTACATTCGATTGGATCTGATACAGCACAAAGGTAAAGCTCGATCTACTTGATCACAATTCGCTCCAGAATCTTGGCTCGAGCTATCTTCCTCATCGAATCAGTCGCATTGAGGTACGGGCTCCGAAGGTACCGAATGACCAAACCGATGGCATCACCAGACAGTTCGCCCTAGTGACACAGGATAGCCTTGGCCGCTGTGTATGCACTCGGGCCGTGGTACATCTTGCTTCCGTAACCTCGACTAAAATTCCGTCCAAAAAGACCTGTCCCAAATGCATCGGTGAGTGCGAATAAACCTATGCCCATTCTCGAGGGATTCCGCGACCATAGATCAGCGTTTGCCCTATCCGTTCGCTGCACCACAGGTTTAACTGTTGAGTTAATGGCCATAAGTGAAAAGATTTGAACATAACAGAATTAACAAGAGTTGCTAAGAGAACAATCAGTTAGGGTATATATGGAATTAGAGAGATGTGCAAACTTCTGTATTTCAGTTAAGCCAAACCTACTTAGCGACAAGTACCCCGAGAACGACGAACAAAGCAGTCATGATTGCTGCCATGCATCACAGTTAGGATGAGCAGGTTGTTAATAGCATAAAACTCGAGGAAATGGTGATGTGGGAATTCGATGCTGAAAATAAAAGTGCTAGAAGAAGAAGAAAAAGAACTGCGATCCAATGTAAGTGATGATAGTGCTGGTAAATTCACATAGAAAAGTGTAGAGAAGACAAGGATGGTAAGCTAACCCGAAGCTGGTGGGACTCCTCCTGCTGAGATTCCGCTGGAGCAAATGTTGGTTGGCCAAAGCGAGAGGGCTATCGGCGTCCCTCAAAGAAGGCAACTGTGGCTTTAATCGAGATGGACATTCATTCGAGAAAACAGAAGACGTGGATGTCGGTGGTTGTAAGCTGCGTGGTACTGTCCCAACACTATTATGGTCAAATATGTCGTCCTTTCTGGGGTTCACGGTCAACAGAAAAACGTTGCTCTACAAACACAATGAACGGGAAAGGAAGTTAGGCTATCCAGGTGACAAAAAGGAAAATCCGAAAACATAAGGCCAATATCCATGAAACATTTGCGGCAGTCATTGCATTCATTCTGTGCCAGTGCACAAATGTGGTTCGGATGGCGCGGGCCAGCAGTTGCCAGCCGCATGCCTAATAAATCACCAAAGCTGATAAATCAAAGAAGCTAAAAGCACGCAGCATCCCATAAGCAGAGGGCATATAAACGGAAGTGTGAGGCTGGAATTGATGAGCAACATTCCGTACTAATCTTTAGAACAATGAATTTGACAGTTTTATAGTATCCTAGGATAAACACATGAGTTCAAACTGCTGGCTTCTGTAAACTGGGTCCTTTTTGTCACTTTCTAGCCTAGGTTAACGTTCTAAGGTGGTTCTAATGTGTTAATTAGTCTCTTTTTAACTTACAGATGACCCGAAGGCATGCTTCCAAACACATTCACTTTAGATGGGCTGGGCTATATCACAGTCAATTGTCAATCATGCAGGTCCGCGGCTCTTACCCACGACGAAGTGGCATCCGGAAGTCATGGGGGCGGAAACCAGGCAGGGGTCCGCTGGAAGGCGCACCACTGACGAGACCCAGAAGGTCGATACACCAGTGGCTGGTGCATTTCCAGGCTAGCCAAAGCCTGCTGATTGAGAGTGGACCGTGCAGAACTATCTCTAATCATACCAAATCCCAAGTGCTCAGTAGTAACATCTAATATTTATTCGTTCCCAAACAAGAAACCCTTAATATCTGATTAAGGGAATCCAAGGAACGAGAGATCATCGAGAAGCAACGTTAAGTCGCACAAAAACCTCGTTGTAGAACTTGGAGTTGCGCGGCGAGAAGTGGTATTCGCCCAGATGGCTAAAACGCAGAACCGAGTTGGGTTCGAAGAATAAGCACCAGCTCGACTGTGAGCAACGGATGGCCCATCACGGGCTTCTCGATCGTAATTATCGTGGTCTCAGCCCTGGTGGGGCAGCACGAGCCCAACACAATAAACCCCGGAGTAATAGAGATAGTTCACGCGGTCCGTTTCTATGCACCTGAGTGACACAGTGTTACGGCGCCTGTCAAGTTGAACAACTGGAACGAACGTGTGGTCAGGAGTGCGGCAAGAATGCGTTTGGTTTCGTGGAACAGTTTTGGCGAGGCCGCGATTGTATGCAACTGGAGCAAAACAAGGAAAATGGAGGTATTGTCTACTCGATGTAGCTTTACAGGGAACAGTGCGCTGAAGCGTACCATCACTTGCCTCCTGATGGATAAGTCCAAAAACGGAAGAATACCCTGTTGTTTCATCTCTATGCAAACAGAAAGGGTAGGGTGGATCGAGTTCAAAGGAGCAGAAATACAGTGGAAATGACCACTGCTGGTGAGGACTAAGATGTCATCAAGATAACGCATGTAAAACGTTGTTTTACCGATGCTGGTTGTGATTTTCTTTTCGACCAACCCCAGTAAACTGGTTGCGAAAATAAGTCCCAAAGAACTGGCCATTGCGACGCCATCTACCTGCTTGTACGCAGTTCCTTCAAGCTCGAATCGGACATTTTCTGTGCAAAGAAGAATAAGTTCGCTCAGGAACTCTAGCGGAATGCCAACAGTCATCTTATGACTCAATAAAAGGTTAGAAAACTAATGTACTGCCCCGCGAAGGGCACATTCTGAAAAGTGGTTCTATGTCTATTGAGTGCAAGAGTTCCGTTCTTAACGACGTTGCTACAATTCTTCGATCAGATCGAGGGTATCTCTTAAGCAACAAATGCCCAGGAGCCTGCAAACAGGTTTCAGGAGCTTGGCCAACAACCTGCAACATCGGGATAGGGTGATTTGCGCACGCACATAATTGGTCGCCATGGTACACTTGCTTTATGTAACTTCGACGCATCCCACATTTTTGGTCTCCGTTCCCAATGATTTCAGGCAACCAGGTAACAAAAGGATTTGGAGCTTTCTTGCTACTTGTTTTTCCACACGGATGCTGTTATTCGGTGTTGTATCGACCTGCAATTCTCGTTGATCCTCCAGTATTGTATTCATGCTTGTGATGTGAACAACTTGGTCCATGATGACAATACCCGTCCTTTTGCCAGATTGTAGGAAGACAGCGTTTTTGATCTACTTTAGCTCCTTGATTGTCGTGCAATGCTCGGCTTCCAGGCTACACTCCTGGGTTATTGGTATGTTAAGTAACTGGTTTGTGATGTCCACCAAGTTCGCGTGAAACCATCCTGCATAATCCATTGCTCGCGCGGTGAGAGGTTGTTGAGTTGATCATACAGATATTCAAAAATGTATGATCATGTGAGTCAAACGGAAACACAGTAGGGTACACGGATGAGTGGTCTTCATGTGTGATCACTCACATCAATGTCCCCGAGTGAAATCACTAATATTAGGGTAGCACGATGTCACATGTAACGATCATGAGGTGACTCAAGCTGGTGTTCAAACAGCATATGCAGTGTCTAATCTACATGGTATCACTACGGCCCACAGAACGTAGTTCGGTGACCCCAGGCCTAGACTGTTCTAATAGCGCGCAATTGCACATGTTCAAACACACACAGAAAAATACGCGAAACCTGGTAGGGAGACAGGAGGGAGAGGAATAACGCTCATGATCAAGAGAAGGACTCGCACTAGCGCCCGCTGCTTGTACAATTCGGGTTACATTAGCCTGACTACAGTGTGGCTTGAGCACCGTCCAATCGCGTCACTGCTCGTTGCTTGCTGGTAAATTGCTGAGTTTCTGCTTAAAATAAACTATGTCCAGCTTGATTTTCAAATCGTCCAGTTTGGTTTGCTAAATTGTCCAGTTTAAAGTGAAAACGGCATTTTCTTTTATTTTCGAACAAAAAGCACCTTACTTAGTGACCATGAAATCAATTAGAGACAACCGGCAGCAAATGATATAGTAAGTGAACTGTTATAGTTTGTCAAACATCTAGAAGATTCTGATAGCTCGGAAGCTGCGCACCACTAATGTCTCGTCGCGGCCTCCAAGTTTACATCACAGGAATCGTGTCGCGTCAGAAGATTTTGATCTTCATTCTGCATGATCTCATGTTAAGCTGCTAGACTTCTCTTTGTTCGCCCTGCAAAGGCAACAAATCTCAGGCAAGCACAACATTACTAGCCCACAATCTCGCAATCATTACCTACCTCAGGTCGACGAATAAGGCAGCTGTGCACTTTGTGACCACTTTTGAAGATGTAAACGCCGGACGGTGCTTCGCTACCGCGTGACCACCACCATTAGCGCGTGGGCGGAGTATACCGCGAGGACGCCAGCCCTTAAGCGGAAACGAACCGGTGACCTTATGATTGCAAGCCATACGTACAGACCAGTCGGCCACCGGCCGATGTTACCTGTTACTTGACAAGGCAACAGCGGTGTCCGTGGAGAAGGGAGGAGTAGCAGCTCTGGTATGGAACCTGCCTTACCTACCGGGGTAGTTCGCCTAACTTTGGTCTTCACCTGTCACCCAGCTCTCATCTGTGGCTCCAAAAAGCTGCTTGAACGCGGCAGCGGCCACACCCCTATCAACCGTTAAGCAGACGGGCTAAACCAGGTGAGGGTAACCTGGATCACTATTCTCGGTGAGTTAGTGCTCGCGCGTAACGCCAGTCCTGCCAACTGGGCGGAAGAGATCGACACCTGATCCAACGGCCAGAAGTTAAGACAATTTCCCACATCCCTGCTGCCGTGCATGTAGCACTTGGCTATGGAAAGGCTAGATATGAAGCATAGAACAAAAGGCGGATTAGGTTAGGGTCCTCATACGTACCCATAATCCCCACGAAACTTCATGACATGTCCGTTACCCGCGATTCTTCTCGTGCTACAGCGTTCCTGATGGGCGACGCGCTCTGCGCTGACCTAGTGGCCAGAGTGATAGGTAAGCTAGCTGGGTTCCTTAATCCCCGGAAGCCACTATTCATTGGATGCTGGAATATCAGAACCTTGTTGAATATCGGCAGCCAAGCGTTGAGCATGCGCATACTAGGACTGTTAGATCAGTATAGCATGCCTGTCAGAATCCCGAATACCCAGCTAGGGCTCTCAAGAAATCGAAGTCCCTGGTGTAGACACTCATACTGGCTTTACCACACTGGGCCGGAAGATGATACTGACAATCATGAGATCGCCATGGCTCTCAGTTGTCAGGAACACAACGCTCTCCTTTCATGAAAGCTACTATTAGCTAGAATAGCAGTTGCACGCTTCAAAGGTCACCCAATGAATCTAACCATAATCTCTGTCTACGCACTAACCTTACCCTCAGCGGAAAGGGACAAATATGAGGTTTACAACACTCTACAGACAGTGGTGAACCATGTTCTAAAACGCGACATCCGCAATATTGCTGGGGAGTGTAATGCACGAAGCGGGCCGAGGAACGATCAGACCCGTCACATACTCGGGAGATACGCCTTTGGAGAGCGCTGTGATAGTGGAGACCGCTTGCTCAGCTTCACTGACCTTAACCGGTTGTGCGTAACCAATACTCGCTTCCAGCATCACAGGAAGCATCTTAGGAGGTGGTACTTCAATGATGATCGCACAGCTAGTCAGATAGATTACATCTTAATCCGATCAGGGTGGATGTCCTTCATCGATGAATGTCGAGCGTACAGAGAGGCTGAAACGGGCAATAAATGTGGTTCGGACCATATACTTCTGCACGCCAAATTCAGACTCCGCTTGACAACGCGCCGGAAGACCCTTCCAACAAAGCGTATCAACAGTGCTCCACTGGAAAATAGTGACTGCTGAGTAGAGTATTTTTGAAATCTGATAAACCACCCACTACACACCACCGCACTCATTTCAGCATTAACGCAGTCACGATATGATGCGAAGTGTTCACCGACATCTCCCACGGACGTTGCAGACACCATTCGTCGCCTGAAGCCGAAGAAAGCTCCTGGAGCGGACGGGATTCTACCAGCCCTCTTTGACCATTTGCACGAACACTTCTGCTCGATATGGGATACCAAAATTTGTCCTTCTTCGTGGAGTACTGCCATCTCCAAAGAAAGGTGACCGAAACATGTGCAGTAATTATTGCTGGATTATCCTAATCGATGTGGTTGCCAAAACCTTCGCACGAATCTTGCTTTCCCGCTTTGCCAATGAGAGGAACCTGCGAACTCGCCACAACCAAGGTGACTTTCGTCCAGCTAGAGGCTGCACTGGCCAAATCTTCACTCTACGTCGGGTACTCGAACACCGCTACCAGTTCCAGCAGCCCACGTTTGTGTGCTTCGTTGATTTTCCAGCTGCCTTTGACTCAGTTGACCATGAAGCACTCTGGAGGATCCTACTTGCTGACGGCATGCCGGTTAAACTCGTTAACTTGATGAGGTCATACTGCTGTTGCACAAAGGCCGGGATTCGGGTCGATGGAGAAGAAAGAAAGGAATTCGACATCAATACTGGAGTCCGGCAGGGTTGCCCACTTTCTCCAGTGCTATTCAACTTCGCAGTCGTGGTATTCTATTAACGCGGAAAGTCAGTTCTGATACTTTCCGCACCAGTGGCCACAGTCATGCAAAATACTTCTTCGAGATTCAGACTCTTCATGACCATTGCTATCAGACTAGGAAACTAACAGTAGTTATCAAAAGAACAAATGTGAGACCGCTTTTCAATGCTGAAACGAGCAGATAGCATATGATCACCTGAAACATGTCTACTTTGGTAGTCAGTGAAAGTCACCATTCTGTCAAGCACAAGAACGCCAACTCAAAGAATAACAGCCAAGCTGGGAAAGTTGCAAATGATGCGGCCAGATTCGATCCGGCGTATGATATCCTGACTCAACGACGTAACAAATGTGAAATATTCTAAGGAATAGCTTACATGTCCCAATCAGATTTGAATCTGAATGTCCATGACGGGATCTGCTACCAGGGTGCGCAAAACTGACGTAAGGCAACATGTAGCGAATTACTAAACAGGAGCTATGGACTAAGGAAGGCCACTGCAGTGGGAATTGACATTACGAATAAGAAAGTACTATCAATCTGTTAGCCTAGAGAAACGATCTCACTGTATGAGAGTAATGCGCAGCTCAAAGATTCTTATGGCATGCAATACCACTGAGATTCGGGGCAGGTGACTTTTCTGTGCAACAGTGTTTATACGTCTAGGTCTGATACTCTTGCATAAACAAATTAGTTGACGATAGGGCACAGACTCTACGATGGTGAGAAACACATCACTCAGATGGAGACAATATGGAATAGCTCTCGGTAGCATTTTTACCAGCTTTTCTGTTCACAAGTTAAAGATGGAAAGTAGACGCAAAAACCAACAGCTGAATATTGACTACTGAGTGAATGACTCACAAACGTCCATGACCGTGAGTTGAAAAGTCCCGCATCCGGGACTTCACATGCAAGTGATGTTGAGAAGTTCCTATTAAAAACTGAAGCTAACATGAAGTAGTGGGGAAATAATGAATCAAACTACAAGCTGATTCAACAACGAACTGTGCTCATAATTCATACTTACAGTTAAGTCAGCAGCTGTATGGTTTGTGGAGAAAAAAAACGGAGGAACACATGCGGTCGTGCAAGGTGAGTAGGTTGGATGAGGCACAGAAGTGGATGTGAGCTTCCGTCGAGAGACCCGCTTGCAGAAAAGACCACAAAACTGATGAGAAGCGTTGCGAATAGAGGAGCTAGAAAACATTTGCTTTGGGGAGGCGGAATCGAGGCCGAAAGAGTTCTCAGGTATGTCGTCATCCTCAAAATGGGTCTAGCGACAACAGTGGAGAACAAACAGAAAAACGGAATTTTAACCTGATATAAACACCAAAAGCAAAGTTGAAGGTGCGTTTGTATGAAATAATCTGGTGCTAAAAAGTAATGCCACCAGGTATCCGGGGGCTACGTCAAAAAGCGCATCTAAATATGGGTAGGAGAACCAAGCCTGTTAGGGAGTACAGACAGAGAGCACATACCGGTTTACAGATCGCCAATTAAAAGAAAACATTCAGGACTGCAATACACTAAAAGAAAGTCCAAACTTCTTTCCGTTAAAGAAGGAAGACTAGGTGCCGAAGCAAAGGAGATATTCAACGGAAGCTACATAAGAGATTGGACGCTGCAGTAGTATAATTGGGTGACGAAATGCCAAAGAAGGAAAAATATTCGTTGGATCTAGATTAACTAGTGTGCGGAAGCAAGTTGGTAATGAAAAGGAGCATAAATGTTATTCGAAAAGGTAAAAATACTTTGGGAAACACACACCTCGACTTGTTCACGCGTCCTCAACCGCTCCTCGTAGCGAATGAAATCCGACGCTGCCATGGGGCGCTTAGCACTGCTGGCTTTTTTCAAGCTTTGTCGAGCAAATTGAACGGCCCTGTATGAGAATACGATGTAAAAAATTACTTCTCAGTTGGAGTTGTGGTGAAGAGAAACGGACTGAAAACGCTTTAGTGGTCAATGCGATGCAACATCAAATTGAACGAGCGATAGCGAGCAGTGAAGTGATTACTCGCCAGTGTCAACTGCCGGGCTACTAAACGTACTTTATGCTGGTTGTAATGGTCGGGGCAACATCAACGTAAGTTCAAAAGTAGGACAGCCTGAGTAAAGCAGCCTAACTGAATTCTGATTCTGTTCCACAAATAGAAGAAGTTCACGCAAGATACATCAAGCACAAATAATTCCCAGCAAAGCATGTGACCTTGAAAGCTAGTGTATGACTACGCATATCAGCGTCGCAGGAGCCGGTCGTTTAGACACAAGCGCTTATTCGGCAGAATCAACTCAGCGAAAGCCACATCACGTCTGACATGCAAAATATCCAGTTGGACGAACCATAAGGAACACACCGTAGCGCACAAGAATATCCGCCAAGCAGTGTTCAATGATAGGATACATTAAGTTCGGCTCTTGTTGAGTGTCTGGCAAGCTCGTGGACTCAGGTGTTCATATTGATTGGACACTTGTCACACTATACACTGAAACTTATCAGTTCAACTTATCCATCGCTTCTTCGATAAAAGGCCTTTGCTGGTTGTAATTGTGACGAGGATTGAACCCCTAGTTTGTAACTGACCAAAGAAAAGGCGTGTGAACTGAGCAAGCAGCGACTGGATCTCAAATGGCGCGATTTCCCTGATTTCACCCAGCCGCCATGCGAATAGGCTGTCAAGCCAATGGCTCGGAGTGTGTTCCATAAGCCAAACCCAAAATTTAGACCTGGGAAACCCAGCCTCTTACAAAATCATGAATTTCGCAACTACAATAAAATACCTGTATGTTGATCACCCAAGGGACTACAACAAAGTGGTCAACATACAGGGGTCTCGGTTCACATGGCGAACGTTTATATAATGAAAAATAAAACTAGTAACTTAGAGAGGTGGTCAATTCCGGAGGTTTTACTGTAACTTCGTATCGTACTTTGCTGATGCGGCGTATTTTACTGCTCGCAGATGCCTACACACACCAAAATTTCTCTAGCTAATTCATTTTCATCCGAATCTACTATCGATACCAATTACGTCGTCCTAAAGAGTCCGGCCAGAGGCCCTCCCTCGATCCCGCTGTTCATTCTGGTTAGTAGTCTCCAATGTCCGAAACCTCTTCAGATTCAGCAGCAGACCGACCTAGCGTTTACTCTGGAGTCCCTCGTTATCGATGTTTGCTACCTTCCTACGATTTTAGTACGGGACTCCAACACCGTAGTTAAATTGACATTCCGTAACGAGCTCGAAAACAAATATCTCCTGCGCCTAGTTGCTGACACAGAAATAGCTGCAGCCAGTTTGGATGTAGTGTGCGAAAACCCACAATTATCGGCGCTACCCTAACTTGCTTTGATAACCGTTTGTCTTCTACTTTCAATACACATACATTCGCAGAGTGCCACTGCTCCCCTGTAGGTAAGTCCAGGACAACAACTTTGAAGAATAAATCCATTTATTGATTTAGTTTATCCGTTTTTATTTGGAGCCATCGATCTTCGCTAAGACTAGCATGCCTCAACGTGCGCACCTGGGTCCAACTCGGTCAACAGGCAGAAATCGATAGAACACTAGAAACCCCACAGAATGATAGCTGATGCCTAACAGAAAGCTGTCTATAAGATACGAGCTCTGTGCTCAAACTACGATCCCCTTCAGGTGAGACTAACGATACTATTTCCCTGCGTCTATCCGGAGAAGATGAAGCTTCGAATGCCGGTCAAGCTGGTGGAAATAATGATCTGAGCTTAGGGGCTGAAGCTAATCTGGTCGTATACACACCAGTCAGTAGCCGCACGTGCCCGTCCCACTAGCTGGCTCGTTCAAAGCCTCCAAGTTGTGTGAGACCAATCAGTGTCTGTTTGTGAATACTTCATACGCATCTACAAACCGTTGATGGCTTCCATCACAAACTTGAAGAGCTCATTCGCAAGGATATTGTTACGCTGGCTGCTAACCTAAACGCGCGAGTTAGAAAACTGTCCACCAATGAGCTTCAACTGGGTGGCAAACAACTGTGTACTCACAGAATGATAACGGTGAGAAATCGCCACACATGTGTGAAGAAACTCGTTTATTTCTCACGAGCATAAACTTCCGATACAGCACTCACCAACCTCAAACCAGATATGGACCCAAAGCGAACATATCACCACAAGTTATCGCAACAGAGGCTGAGTCCAAAAAATGTCACTCAAAGTTGTGAACAATTGCGGACTCCGGCCACGCAATATATATGTGCTAATCCCCGAGTTCGCTTCGACGGAATACTGCGATGACGACGAGAACGAATGGACATTAGGCGTTCTGAATGCTTGTCAAAGTATGCGGGCATCCAGGCGGCGTGCGCGCCCCTGGAACACGTGAAGGTCAATAATAGTAAGATCAGCAAAGATAATTAGCAGCAAGTGTGCCTTTATGTGGCAAGACTGATTGCAACCAAGACATTTAATATCAAAGTAGCCGCTGGAACACCTGGATGCACGCCAGCACATTTTGCTAGAAGCGAACACAAAGCTCGCAAATACCTCCGGGCGAAACTGCATGCTAGTCTGAAGAGAGACCAGGAAGCCTAGTGGTCTCACTGTGCGTCGAAGATGGAAGCCATTGCTCTCCTTGGAAACCATCAAGTGTTGTCACTTCAGGCACGGAAAACGGGCAGCATGAGAACTGCGGATTATATGCGACAAGAGCCGACAGCTAATCCACAACGTCATAAAGTTTAGAGCATTAGGTCTAACAATTTTCAAGGCAGTTTAATCAACCAGAGCAATCAGCTTCCACACGGGCCATTGATCGCCTTCCTACTTGGGCTGACCATAGACCCGCCTTCACACGCAGATATCGAAAGTGAGATCAGACGGTTGAAATCGAACAAGACCGCGGAAGCAGATAAAACTCCTTCAGTTCTCTTCAAATCTACGAAAACTGATATTATGGATGATTTGTGCAACTTACTAGTGAAGCTGCGAGAGAAGACTGTCCAAACGAACTGGAGACGCTCAGTTATTGTCCCAATTTACAAGGCAGAATCTTGCTGTCCATGGAAAATTGTTATCAGCAACGCCTCACGCACACCCAGCATCTTACGATTGACAGTGTCAGTCTGAACTCCTGTACAGTAGTGAAATACCTAAGAGTTACACTAAGTCGAGATCTTACGTGGTCCAACCACGAGAATGAAAAGTCCACTAAAGTCAACAGACTAACGTGGTGCCTCCCGCTTTAGGTTTTCATATGTGATTCGTTACTTGATTTTACGGTCTATCACCGCTTGCGAATATCTCACTGGACGTATCACTAACCTGTGATAGTTCCTGGACTCTTAAAAAAAGCAATTCAAGAAGATAACGTCAGTGGAAAATCTTTCCTGATGTAGCGGAATTTTAATGTTAGTATTTACTGACATCATTGGTTCTAAGTACCGCTCCTGCGAAAAACTAACGTCAAAAATACTTACTGATGCCAAGCACAAGTTCCATTATGCATTTTTCGGAATGTATCTCGACTTCTTCGATCAGACAAACGTACAAAGCAATATATCCCTGTACATGGACTTAAGGTACGTCAATCATTTCCTATTTGTCACGTCTTCTGAAGAATCAAGGCATGGACAAACTAGAGCATTTTGTCAAATTAGTGGTGCACAATATTCTTCCTATACTTTATTTATCTGTGTGTCTTCAGCGTGTGTATCGTAACTGAATATTCACTCCTCATGGGTGCATAAAGCGCATCGCTGATTTGACTTGACACTCGGCAATGACATAAGATTAAGTTTGATCCCCGTTGTCACTAAGTTGCTTGCGCCTCCTGTGCTCCATAGCTTTACTGGAACCCGCAAAAGCCAGACTTGTGAACAACAAGCCGGGGTTCGTCTAATCTGAGGCTGTCTTGACCACCTCTTCCAATTACGTCAACAATTGGAACACGGCCATATTTACAGGCTACCCACCGTAGTCATGTTCGTCGACACCAAGGGTTCTTGATTCCGTGTACCGAGATGCTCTTCCTGTGTAACACTGGGATGCCCGCTGTCACCTTCCCTTTACAACTTCGCCAATTACGAAGTTATGGAGCTGCTTCCCGGTGAGCAAGTTATTGACTTAGAGTTTGTCGACGACATTGCTCTCACCTGCGACAGCTCACGAATGTGTCAAGCAGCTCCAGACATATGAGCACTGGTTGACAGTCGCGTAGGACTTTCCATTGCATCGTCCAAATGCAAAGAGTTCCCGTAAGATTAACAGGGACCGCCCTCTGCACTAAGCTCTGATGGGGAATCAGATAGAGGCTATACGGAAGTTCAACACCCTGGGCAGCTGTATCAGCGCCTACGGAATAAAAGATAGAATCAAAAACCATACACCGAAGGCCCGAGGTGCTTTGGCAAATCTTTACACTTGTGGTATCGGTGTTACATCACTCCCATACTAAAGTGTATAGAGTCTACTATGCAACTGTCCGATCAACTCTCCTGTACAGTTGTGAAATCTGGCCAGTCAAATCAATAGACGTGAAGAGGCTAGTTACGTTCCACTACCAGTGCCTTCGCATATATCTGGTGCGAACACCGCGAGAGCAATGAGCGCGTTTAGAGTTTTGTCTATGGCGCAGGCAGAGGAAGTGAACGACTTGCACCATATATTCGCGAACCAAGTTCATTTGGCTGCGCCAGGTTGTACGAAAACCAGCACACCGGCTCCGTGACGTGCGTCGTTTGCACGACAAGGTTGTGAGTAGGAGAACAAAAGGAGAGGTCCTTGTCGGTGACTTGGTCAAGGGAAACAAAGGTTCGTACTTCGAAGTTGCCCTCGGTTGGAGCCTCTCAAGTTCCTGGCTGTGGTACTAGAGGTGATGAGCACGCTTGTCTGGATACAGCTGCAGA